TGGAAAATGATCCAATTTCACTTAATTGGGCTGAAAACTTTTATTTATTTATTGCATATAATTTTTCTTTGTTCGTCAAAGCATGAAAGGCAGAACAATTAAATTCTTAAATTAAAAAAGAAAAAGATCATCAGAGCTGTTGAAGAAGATCTCTGTGAGTGTCTTTCTTCAATTCCTGCCTGTATACACTGAACTAACACTGACCTCGTTCATCAAACAGCTGTGTTTCAACTGAGAGCCGTCACCATGTGACGAATGTTCCGTCAGCTCCAGACACCGGCACAAAATTAGGAAAAAATTAAACCAAATTGTCTCTGCTGGATCGGACTTATCACATGGGTTCAATCAGGCTGAGGGACGGTGTGAGTGTGAGTCTGAGTGTGAGTCTGCTCACTGAGGCACACAATCATCAGCAGACAGCACAGAACAGCCTTTTCAAATTTCCCAACCCTGAGGACTGAGTCACATTAATATTCACCATGTTAAGCTGCATTAGCATAGCGCTGAGAATATGCTGAGAATAAATTTAAATACTCAGTAATAAGTGCAGCATATGCTGCAGTGGGCTGAGGGCTGAGGCCGGGGTTACTTCACTCTCTTTGTCTGGCTCTCACTGCATGTGTGTGTGTGTGTGTGTGTGTGTGTCGACCATGTGTAATGATGTACATACTAACCTGTATATGATTGTGTGTCAGTTTGATGTGTCTTCTCGGCCTGTGACAGCAGGGGGAGACGGTTCAACACCCCGGTGTGGGGCTCAGGTCTGCAGAGAAGATAAATTCATTATTGTTTCTCTCTCTGAGGTAAACAAAACAAACACCCCCCACTGCCTCCACTCTGCGGTTATGGTATGAGTGACATCCCCCCCCCACCCATAAACCCCCTGTTTATGCACCTGATCACATCCCCACATACACTGTACAGTAGCCCCCACTTCATGCCTGCATGGTCAATTGGGCAAACCCCGGGGGCATGTCAAGAAGACTGCACTTCCTGTGGTTTAATTAGACAAACATGTTGACATTATAAACATGAGGGAGGGGGTGCAGAGGGGGAGTGGAGGGGCTACAGAGAGTTACTGTCACATATCCATACAGTATCTCTGCTTTACTTTTAAAGGAATATTATTTTATTTTATTTGTTATGTCATATTTCTTTCCTGGTCATCCATGAATAAACGAGTTGTTTCCAAAAACCTTAGAAATAAATTTATTTATAGAATTTTCTTTTTTTTTTTTACAAATGGAATTAATCAAGGTTTTCCACAGAAAATCAGATCTATCAGAGTTAGCCATATTAGCATAAGACATCCATTGAATTGTGCGCAGCATATTTAAAATTTATGACTAAATATTAGAAAGCGTGTGACAAAAACAACTCTTAAATTGTAATTTGGACAAAAAAGGTGTCTTACCTTTCCATCCAGTCGAACATTTTAATTATTTAATCTTGTGGAAGAGTTGGTGTCAATCACAGCCAACGTTAGATAAAAGGCAGGGTGTGTCTCCGATCGGTCAGCAGTCTGTCACAAAGACATAAACTACCAGGTTTTTTATTTAAATAGAAATTTATTTGGTCAATAAATATATATAAATATTGTCTCTAAAGTTGAAATTTTAAAATATATAAATTTACAAATACATTGGGTACATCAAATTCTTTTCTTTTTCTTGTTCTTTGTAAGCAGCACATTTTTCCCGTTATTGTAATTTGTAATAAAGAGGTCGCCACCTTGTGTTCGGGGTTTGAAATAGCTTTTGTATTTTTGGTCAGGCATTTAGGCGTCCATGTTCCAAACAACCAAGGCCCTGGCAACTTGAATACACAATGTTGGGAACTGTAGTTTAATATCCCCACCACATCTCTGTTTTTATACGGACTGAAACTACAATTCCCAGAAGGACGTGCGCCATTCAGCTCGTGTCGGAAAAGACCAGCATACAGTTAAGCGTAACAGAGACGTAATTTGTTGACCATTATAAAGGTAAATATTACACGATTTAAACAACGGACTTGGGCAGTTTCGCCATGTGCAACATCTAAAACGATATTACGATTTATTGCTCAACGGTTTAGAGCAATTTATTATAAATTAATAGCATAACTTGGAGATGTTTAAGCTAGGAGTTAGCCTGTTCATACTGCCCGCTTTACGCGCACTCTGCAAGTTCTATTTGTTGTAATTACTAAGATTTATTTTTTAAAAAGTAGTATCCAAAAATAAAAATCTATAAAATTTGCACAACTGTCATCTACGGAATGTCAGTTTGAGATGGTACAAACCATATACACAGCAAAGTCAGTTGCGTGTACGACAAGCAAAATAAACCATAGGCTTTTCTCATGTGAATCGTATATTTATCGAATTAACGTATCATTTTCTTTACACAGTTGATAACAGCCAGCGTGATATGAAATGGTTTAAATCAACTTAGTAGTCAACTCTTATTGTGTAAGTACCGAGTAAGAACATACGTTTTGTTGCAGATGGCTGCAGAGTCCACAGAGCGGAAAGACGCGGAGACTTCAGGGACCAAAGACAGAGAACGAAAACGAAGTCGTTCAAGAGAAAGAGAGCGTAAGCGACACAGGTCACGGGAAAGGAATCGCTCCAAATCTCCTGAACGGTAACTAGAACTTTAGTCAATGTTGGAGGGGATCAAATATGACAGTTAAATACTGGGATTTATTTATCTTTGGTAGGGGAAAATAATCTTAGTTTTGAATTCATTCTTTAATATGTTTATTAATTTTAGTCACCATTTATCTTTACACTAATTTAGATTGTCTAATTAATACTATAGCTGTTTTAATATTTCAGGTATGTTTGTCAGCTCTAAACCCATTCTGACTTTTATCTCTTAAATCTATTTTCATATTTTTGCACATATTGCAGTGACCGTCGCTTAAAAGACAAGGACAGAGACAAAGACAAAGACAGAGACCGTGACCGGGACAGAGAAAAAGAAAGAGAGAGGAATCGTAAGGACAGAGAGGGACATCGACGTGACAGAAGCAAAAGGTCCAGGTATGTTCAAGATGAGGTTCCCGGATTATGAACTGTTCACCGATCAGATGAAACACATTTTTCTTTTTTTGCTGTATATTCAGTTTAACACTTGGGTTAGTTTTTGACATTTAGAAGAAAAAAAGTGTAAATGATCAATTCCTGTTTTGCCATTTTCATCTTGTTTATAGAAGTTTTTAATCTTGACAAAGAAAAACTAAAGGTTTAAAGTCTGTTAACTTTTCCTTTAAAGAAGTCCATCCCCGAAGTCGAAGGACTCAAAAGTTAAGAAAGACAAGGATATCAAGGGGGAAGAGGAGGATGACGACGAAAAAAAGAAGAAAGAGAAGGTGTGACTCTTGTTGCATATATTTTTGTAACATCATGTTGTCCGACCGTCCTGAGTGTTTCACCTGTGTTGTACCTCGTTAGGTCCAGCCCCTGTCGTTAGAAGAGCTTCTAGCCAAAAAAAAGGCCGAGGAGGAGGCGGAGGCAAAGGTCGGTCGTTCTCTCTGACAACGTTTTAGATTAAATATAATGTCGCACTTAAATCCTAAATACAAACTTTTTTCCTTTTTAGCCAAAATTTCTGTCAAAAGAAGAGCGAGAAGCTGAGGCTCTGAAACGAAGAGCCCAACAGACGGAGGAGAAGAGGAGGATGGTGGATGAAGAGAGGAAGAAGAGACGGATGTTCCAGGACATCGGGCGAAAGATGATGGGTGTGTAGTCGCCGGTCGTCTGCGTTTGATTAAACTCCGGAGGCACGTGTTAAGATCATGTGAACGTCTGTTACAGAGGATCCACAAGAAAGAGAACGACGTGAGCGGCGAGAGCGAATGGAGCGAGAGAACAATGGGACTGAAGACGACGACGGGAGACAAAAGCTCAGGGAGGAGAAAGACAAAGGCAAAGAACTCCAGGCCATTAAGGTTTGTCTGTGAGACACGGGTTGTTTTGGATCAATGATGATGTCATCACTAACTCGTATTTTTTAAAAAAAATCTACAGGAGCGTTACCTGGGTGGGATCAAGAAACGGCGGCGAACACGTCACCTGAACGACAGGAAGTTTGTTTTTGAGTGGGATGCGTCCGAAGACACATCTGTGGATTACAATCCAATGTGAGTCGATCTGTTTTATAACAAACCTGACTGTGGAGACGAGCTCGGTCTAATGGATACGATTCGTTCACCAGTTACAAAGAGAAGCACTCGGTGCAGCTGTACGGACGGGGCTTCATCGCCGGCATCGACCTGAAGCAGCAGAAGAGGGAGCAGTCGCGTTTCTATGGTGACCTGATGGAGAAGAGGAGAACACTGGAGGAGAAGGAGCAGGAGGAGTGAGTCGATCTAGTTAACTAGTTATCAACAAACTCAGAAATGAATCTGATTCATCACAGACGCTGAACCTGTTTGTTTAAATCCTTTAAAATTTTTAATCTGTTTTTTTTAAGTGCCCTAATTAGACAAAACAACATAAAACATTTTAACTGTAATTTTGAAAAATTAATGTCTTTTTTTTTATTAACTGTTTCCAGGACCAGACTGAAGAAAATGCGTAAGAAAGAGGCCAAGCAGCGCTGGGACGACAGACACTGGTCCCAGAAAAAACTGGACGAGATGACGGACAGGGACTGGAGAATCTTCCGGGAGGACTACAGCATCACCACTAAGGGAGGGAAGATTCCAAACCCCATCAGGAACTGGAAGGAGTACGCTCTGCCTGATCACATCCTGGAGGTCATTGACAAGTGTGGCTACAAGGTCGGTCAGCGAGTCCAGAGTCTGTGGTTCTAAAGGATCTTTACAGATTATTTAAATGGTTTCAGTGAAACATATTTCATGGTAAAACATCATTTGTTTTTTACTTTTTGAAAATCCAGGATCCCACACCTATTCAGAGGCAGGCCATTCCTATTGGCTTACAGAACCGTGACATCATTGGTGTTGCTGAGACTGGCAGCGGTAAAACTGCTGCGTTCTTGATTCCACTGCTTGTCTGGATTACCACGCTGCCCAAAATTGACAGGTAAAATAACAATAATACGCAACTGACGTTTTTAGGCGAACACTGCCATCTACTGTACTAGAGTGTGTAGTGTCATGGTATGACGAGTGACTTTTTGAGATAACTAAGCTTACTCCTTACACCTTGATGAAAGATTCATTTTTAATTTCACCCAATGAGAATTGTTACACATTTGTATCGATTATTAACGATTTAGCCTTTTTATGTGTTTTGGTCCAATGATCTGTTACTGTGATGCTGCAGGATTGAAGACTCAGACCAGGGTCCTTACGCTGTGATCCTGGCCCCGACCCGTGAGTTGGCTCAGCAGATTGAAGAGGAGACCCTGAAGTTTGGTAAACCCCTGGGGATCCGTACGGTTGCTGTGATTGGAGGAATCTCCAGAGAAGACCAGGGCTTCCGTCTCAGGATGGGCTGTGAGGTGAAACATCTGCTCAGCAAATCAGACTTCCTTACTTTTTTTTCTGCAAACTGCATTTTTATTATTTTCAAACGTGACCAACCTTCCTTTCCCTCCGTTGACAGATTGTCATCGCGACTCCCGGACGTTTGATCGATGTGCTGGAGAACCGATACCTGGTCCTGGGCCGCTGCACGTACGTGGTCCTGGACGAGGCCGATCGTATGATCGACATGGGCTTTGAGCCCGACGTCCAGAAGATTCTGGAATACATCCCAGTGACAAATCAGAAACCAGACACTGACGAAGCCGAGGACCCCGAGAAGATGACCATGAACTTTGAATCAGGAAAACACAAATACAGACAAGTGTGTGCTCACGGCAGAGACTTTTCAAACGTGTGTACGAGTGGGTTTTTGTTTTGTCATTTTGAGACGTTTGTGAATTTCTTCCCTGCAGACGGTCATGTTCACGGCCACGATGCCTGCATCTGTGGAGAGACTGGCCCGCAGCTACCTCCGACGCCCCGCGGTGGTGTACATCGGATCTGCTGGCAAACCTCACGAGAGAGTGGAGCAGAAAGTCCTGCTCATGTCGGAGGGTGAGAAGAGGTGAGATGGACACGGATTCTAACTTTGAACTTTGAAATTCCCGTTCAGTCTGAGGTAAAGACCAACTGAGTGGATTTTCTTTTTTTATTTTTTTTTTTGGTGTGATGCAGGAAGAAGCTCCTGGAGGTGCTGTCCCACGGCTTTGAACCTCCCATCATTATCTTCGTCAACCAGAAGAAGGGCTGCGACGTGTTGGCCAAGTCTCTGGAGAAGATGGGGGTACGTCATGGAGGGAGGGGCATCAGAGCTTTTTTTTTTTTTGTTTGTTTTTTTTTTTACATCATAATTACGATGTTTAATGATTTTAAAGTTTTCTAAACTCTTGTATAAAAGTTATTATATGAATCTGTAAGGTTATATTTAAGACATCAAAAGGTCATTAGTTCCATACTGAAATTTCAGAAGAAAATTTCATGATATTTAAAGAAATTTCTAAAAATCCTAAATCACAAAATAATAACTGAACCTACGTTTATATTTAAAAATTATGCTTAAAAAATTGTGTTAAACTTTGTCCTGATGTATGGATGGAGGAACTTTTCACTCATAAAATTCCTGTGAAGTTTGAAGAAGAAAGTCGTTTTTTTTTTTAGTTTTGACTCAAACGTCCTTGTCTTGTTCTCGCAGTACAACGCCTGCACGCTCCACGGAGGAAAAGGCCAAGAACAGAGAGAGTTTGCTCTCTCCAACCTCAAGGCTGGGTCCAAAGATATTCTGGTGGCCACGGATGTCGCTGGTCGAGGTATCGACATCCATGACGTCTCTATGGTTCTTAACTACGACATGGCCAAGAACATCGAAGGTAGGATTTCACTCCGGCTGAGCACAGAAATCTGGCGATACGATACGTATCCCGATACTTGGGGAACGATACGATATTTTGCAATACTGATATTGTGAAAGTATTGATATTTTCTTACTCACGTAGATTTTAAAAGAAGTTTTGTCATATCGTATTATATTTTTGATCCACTTCTCTGGACAAAGACCAGGATTCCTCAGAAACAAAATGTTGTTTTTTTTCTCCCTCCTCTTCCTCAGACTACATCCATCGTATCGGTCGTACTGGTCGTGCTGGTAAGAGCGGTGTGGCCATGACCTTCCTCACCAAGGAGGACTCGGCAGTGTTCTACGATCTGAAGCAGGCCATCCTGGAGAGCCCGGTCTCCACCTGCCCCCCCGAGCTCACCAACCATCCGGACGCTCAGCATAAACCTGGAACCATTCTGACCAAGAAGCGGCGGGAGGAGACCATCTTTGCCTGAGATGATGAAGTTTTAGACCAGATTAAAATCAGGTTTTCAGGTTGAAGACATTCATTGTCTTCAGTCGTTCCTTCCTCTGTGTTTCCTGTTTGGTCAGAGCGTCTCTTCGTCGCACTTCACTGTAATCAGCTGAAATTAAATCCTTTTTTAGACACGGCTCTTGTCTCATTTGTAAGACAATAGTGAAGCGTCCAGACATATACTCTGTGGTAAATACTACACATGAGTACTGGCCAGTTATACAGTAGGCAGAGAAAATCTGACTTGTGTTTTTTTTTTTTTTAAATCATTCTCAATCTGTGAAAACAAAATAAAATTCCTTAACTGTTGAAGACGAAGTTTTATTCCACGTGTGGGATTAAATCATGTCGAAAACGTAACAAATTACTTTACGCTGTTTCCTCTGAATTGAAGGTATGAATGTGAGCGTTCAAGCACGGGATTGGCTGCGGTGGTGGAAGATGAAGGAATAAATGAAAACCTGTGGTGGAGAAACACAAAAAAAAAAATCACACACACAGTTAAAAGTACATAAAATGTTATGTTTATTTTGCTGAAGTCATATTTTTTTTTCTTGTAAATCTATTTTCAAATAGAAAGCATTCTTTACAGCATCAGGCAGGAAATGTCTCACTTTTTACACATTTTCACGTCTCTTCTGGTAAATAGAGGGAAGAGGCATGTCTGTCGGCTCAAACTAGCACACTGTGGTCTTCTGATGGATACATCAATATATTTAGTGCAGTTATTGCATTACAAAGCAACCATCCCAACGAAAAAAATAGTGCAATTTTTTTTTTTCTACTCACACAAAAGAGGAAGTCCAGATGGTCTAAGGCGTTCAAAGTTTTTAAATTTTCAACTCGGTATTGCATACAGAATAAGACAGGAAATCAAACTATAACCTTTGTAAAAATTGTGCTTCATAAATTGAAAAAACCTCAACTGCTTTGTCAGTTGCTTAATTGGTCCGCTTTGAAAAACAAACTCTGCCAAAATATAGTAAAATATTTGGTGATCGGAGACATGCAGGGCTGTCGTAGTTCACTCGCTCTTTTGGTCACGACAAATCAAAACAAACGTCATGAGCCTGACCCGGGCCGTTGTTCAGTGAGTGACGTAAAAGTGCATCGACGACGACGACGTCTACCTAATATCATGAGTCAAAATTTGTGCAAAAACCAAAAGAGATGCAGGTTCATTTTTTGAGTGGTGGGGCTGTGGGGGGGGGTCGGCGAGGAGGGGTCGGGGGGTGTGAGGAGTGAGTAGCCCCAAAGACAAGACTATCACTACAAGACAACGAGGAGAGTCGATGCATTTCTAAAATACTTAATCTCAAAAAGAAACAATCAGATTTCATGCAACACTTGCATAGATTTTTTTTCTCTCTTTTTTTTTGTTTTAAAATCATGCTTCTTTTTTTTTTTTTTTTTTTTATCTCGTCACAATATACAGAACGATAGATAGCAATACTTATGAGACATGGAAGCAGTAAACCAGCGAATCCTAAAGCAGATTTTGACCCTGTTTGTGGCCGGTGCTCACCAGCATCACGTCCAACTCCGCGTCGGCTCATGGGCTAAAAACGGGCGCAGGAACAGAAAGGCGTTGTGCCGTGGGTGCTACGAGTCCTCCCAGATCACAACACATTCTTTACATGAGGTCACGGGCGGGGGGGTCGCGGGGGGGTGAGAGGGCGGGACGTCAAGGAGAAATCCTGCTGTTTTCAACACACACTACAGGTGAAGAGGTCAGTGACTCGTGCTAGCTTTAGCTTAGCCTAAGCTGTTAGAAAGCTAACCTGTGAGGGGAGAGGCCGACTCTTTGGTCTCGTCAGCATCGCGCAACATAAACAATTGTTACGAAAAGTGTACGAATCAGCAGTAATATGAATACTTCTTCCTAATATTCGTACTTGAAAATACTTGATTTTGAAAAAATCTGTGATTTGTTTAGGTTTTTTTAAAACTCGTTTCCCATAACATTCTATTGGAAATTTCCATTTTAACACAGTATTTTATCATCGTGACTAAAGAAACTTTGAGCTTTTGCAACATTTTCCCAGGGTGGGATCATTTAAGTTATCGTAATTTAAGGTAATCTAGTGTGCTCTAATCTAATCTAATCTAATCTAATCTAATCTAATCTAATCTAATCTGATGTGCTGTAGCTGTGACACTAATGACCAGTTCAAAATTTTGTTAGGAAACAAGAACTATGTTGTTGTCAAAAAGGGCAACAAGGACGTCCCATAATGCCGTTCATGTTGCGTAGCACTTGTAAATATATTCTGAGCGTGACACCGTCTTCACGCCGAGAGGTTTCATTTTCTAACAGCTGGGCTGCACTTCTGAGATCTACCAGCGAGTGTCTCTGTGTGGAAAACAAATCGGGATTTCTCGTTTGAACACCTGAGAATCTGCCGAGTTTAAAAATAAATAAAACTGCAGTACAGCGGATGAGATGTTGGACACGGACACGGACGGACACGCACACCGGAGTGGGAACGGTGAAAATGCTACAATCAGTAACGTGCTACAGTTGGAAAAACAGGGCGGAGGGTTGGGTCGGAGGTGCAAAGGTCATGCGAGCTTACAGTACATTCTCTGAAGCCTGGATCTGAAGAGGAGCGGCCGCGGCCGCGGCTGCAGCCACGTGTGCTTGACAAACGCATCAGTGACCGGATGGAGTCCAGCGGTTTTGGGCAAAGAAATGGTCCGAGGAAAACATACATTCTCTGTGGCTGCGGTCGATTTTCGGAGGTGTTGAAGAGAGTGATTGTGCAACAGCGAGGACACGAGACTGTACCGTTAGTGACGCAGACGCCTGTACTGCAGCTTCATACTGTGTATATATATATATGACTGTATGACACAACCACACTCTGGGTGTGTGTCTGGATGACAGCGTAGTTGTTGTTTTTGTTTGTTTTTTTTTTTTTGTTTTTTTTCAACAGCAAACCCATAAATAAAGAAGGAAACATGGATAAAACCTGGTGCCGTTCAGTTGTATTTACATCCGAATGAAAAGCTGGAGGATTCTCCATAAACTGATACAACGGTTGACATTCCTACAATAGTTTTTTTTTGTTTGTTTGTTTGTTTCTGTAAAGATCATTCAGCTCCTGTTCTGGTTCCGTGTGCAAATATAGTCTTAAAATAATTACACTCATGCAATAGTAAAGACAGTTCAGAGTTTTAGGAAGTTTAAGGCCAGTATACGCAGGAGACATCGTACATTTGAGAAACCCTCGGCCACGCAGCTCAGCTCGGAGTTGACGTACAGCTGGTCGCAGAGGTCAGTAGCCCTGTTGACCCCTCTGCGGGGGGGGGGGGGGGGGGGGGGTCGGGCGCGCCCTCTA